TGATTATAATAAGACCTGAGTTTTAAGAAAACAGACCCTCTGATGTGTGGATGTGAAATCTTGTCTTTAGTGTGACAGTACTGCACTTTATACACAATGTAACTCCAAGGAGACAGGGCTTTTGTCCTCAGATTTACTGTACGATATTATGTCATAACAGAAGAGTACATAAGAGTATGTGGTATTCTTGGTATTAAAATGAAGGATAAATAGCCTACTGTTATGAATTCCTGCATCAAACAAAGTAAACTCAAAGCTGATTTAAACTGTTTTCACTGACATGTGTTTCTTTCTCAATAGATAATCACCGAGGTTGGGTCAGGAATGTTTTCTGACTACTCCAATGTCCAGTATGTCAACATTTCTGGCAGTGTTAATACTATTGACCCCTCAGTGGGCATGATCACTTATCGCCCACAAATCATATACAAGTTCTCCTGTCGCTACCCACTGCAGTATCTCTTAAACAACACTGAATTAGACGTGTGAGTATGCTACAGGACACCCTGAATAACACAAACTGCATGTAGAATAAGCAGGAAACACTTTGATTCATCCAAGTTTCTAATACATAACACATCATTTCATTCAATACAGCTCAGGTGTGAATGTTGCTGTAAAAGATGGTAATGGTACCTTCATGAGCACACTGAGGATGCAGCTCTACAAGGTAGGAACTGATCCTGCTTTTAGAATTGAACAAAGAGTATGTGTGAAACATTTTATAACTTGATTTTGTTCTTTCTTCTCTGGGGAACAGGACAGCACCCATCAACAAATGATGTTTATGCCACAAACAGGACTTAACCTGAAGACAAAGATTTTTGTTGCAGTTGCAGCCAACAATCTAACAAGCAGGTAAGCTTTACTATCTTACAGTAAACCACAGATTATACAAGCAAGAAAAAACACTTAAATTTCACCTGTTTCTTCTCTAAGGTTCAATGTACTAATGGACAGATGCTATGCAACAACTTCAAGTTCTCTCTCTTCCACGTCTTATGACCTTTTTACAGGGTGAGTGTCATATATTTAACCACAGTATACAGTAGAACACCTTCCACTTACTCTGACACTCAATGCCATGCCAGCTCTGTACTCCATATGCAGTCTCACTACCTGTCTCTTTTCACAGGTGTACATGTGATCCAAAAACTATAATCACCATCAATGGGGTGGCACAGATGGCATGCTTCTCTTTTGAGGCTTTCAGATTTAGAGAGCACGATAACCAGACAGTTTCCACTTTCTACATACGCTGCCTCATCAGACTCTGTTTGGATGTCACTTGTGGCACATTAATGGCTGTGAGTAAATATATTCATGATAAATTTATCTAGCAAGAGTCATAACCTAATTTTAAGATATCACAGATAGATACATATTGGAGAATAAATTCTACTAAGTTTTTTTTTTTTTAAATGTTCTTCATTACCAACAGAGCTGTGGTCCCCACAGGAGGCGAAGGAGGGACACCCAGGAAGAAGTGGCCTCTGCTACACTCAGCTCACCTGCCATTTATGTGGGCGAAGAGGCCACTGGTATGTCTTTTGGGCAGAAAACTACAATAATATACCTTTATCCTATCAAAATTACATTTTACACTCTATTTTGAACAAATACGAAAGTGAAAAATACAGTCTCTACTATGATGATTATGTATGATTGGTCTGTTTCATTGAATATAACTGGAGATTCTTGTCCAAACTTGATAAATAACATAGTCATGGCCAAAAATATTGCCCCCCCCCCCGCATTTCTGTCAGATAATGCACCACTTCTCCCAGAAAGTTGTTGCAACAACAAAGTCTTTGGTATTCTCAATTGTATTTCTTTTGTTTGCATTGTTACAACACAAATGGTAGAGAAAAAATGCCAAATCTGATACATTTCGCATTGGGCCCCAGAATTCATTGGTAGCCTCCAGATTTCATAAAGCCATACACACAGTCAAGACATCCAGTGGCTGAAGCAGCAAATCAACCCCAACACATCAGTGAACCTCCACTGTGTTTGACTGTAGGGATGTGTTCTTTTCTTTGAAGGCCTCATTTAGTTTTCTGGAAACAGTAGAAAGATGTGCTCGACCAAAATCTCTATTTTAGTCTCATCTATCCACAGGACATTCTCCCAGAAGGACCGTCTCCTACCATAGTGTCCCTTGTCATGTTCCACTACTGTGCTTCTCAAACCCTCCTCATCGTCTTTGCTCTTCTTTCTTTTCTCCATGCTCAGTGTGGTCCACATGACACAAAGGTTGAATCAACTTTTCTCCATTTTAACTGGTTTCCAGTGTGATTTCCATGTCACCATCACCTGTTGGTTGCTACAGGTGAGTTTCATTACAAACTAAAGGAGCATCACCTGCTTGGAATACAACTATTTCTGATGGTTTTGAAAACGTGTCAATAATTCTGTCCAGTCCATGTTTGGAGTTCTGTGTGGAATGGATCAGATTTGGCTTGTTTGTGCTGCTCTAATGCAAACAAAAGAAATAAACATAAGAATACCAAAGAATGGGTGATTGCAACAGTTTGATGAGAGAAGTGGTGTGTTATTTGACAGAAATGCTGGGGTGACAGCATTTGCCATAACTCAGGCTTCTTCCCACAGGTGACAGTATTTTTTGCCATAACTCAGGCTTCTTCCCACAGTCCAAAGACATGCAGCTTAGGGTGGTGACTCTAAATTGCCCCTAGGTATGAGTATGTGTGGTTGTCTGTCTGTCTACATGTCGGCCCTGTGATAGACTGGTGACCTGTCCAGGGTGAACCCCGCCTCTCGCCCATTGTCAGCTGGGATTGGCTCCAGCCCCCCTGTGACCCTATTCAGGATAATGTGGTATAGATAATGAATGGGTGGATGATTAGCCTGGTTGATTAAATATGACTGGAGACTTTTGTTTTAATCTGATGAATAACTTTTTAGCAGGCCTTAGAAAAATATGATATATACTGTAAAAGACCCATAATGACATTGTTTACTTGTAAGTCAGATGTTGTGATACAGTATCTTGTCTTATTGGAACAGTTTCTTGCTAAGCACTAGATGAGAAGATTGATACCACCTTCATGTCTGTACATTTGAGGTCTTCACAAATCCAAACTTTGATATTTGTAAATCAAATTTCAGAAACAAAAAAAAAAAAGAGAATCTCGTAAAGAACTAATTTCTCTTTTTAAAAAACAAACTCAGCTTTAGTTCTGTTGTTAGCACAAAGTTTTGCTGAGCTGTGAAATTCACAGTGCTCATTGTCTCTTGGCCTCAAAGCACATCTGGTACCACACACACTCATGTCCAATCAGATCCACTCAGCTATTGGATGTAGGGACTCAGTTCCTCAGAACCAAATGGACTCATGAAGACCTCTATTGACAATTAACTATGAAACTAAAATCAGAAAGTGCTTTAAGTTAAATGAACAACTGGCTGTAGTTTCACATGAAACAGCCAGATATGACACTGGTAAGGTATCACTACGAAAATGTAAACCTTTCCTTTAATGGTTAAGTTTATCATTAATAACACAAAACTGAATCCTATCAGTTAATTACAATAGCTTTGCTCAATTTTTCAGGAGATGCTTCAGTGGTCGTGACTACTCACGGTAAGAAGCTGCATTGTACTGTATGTGACATACTGTCACTGTGTGTGTGTGTGTGTGTGTGTGTGTGTGTGTGTGTACTTGTAGGAATACACTAATGGCCAGGTTACTTGGTTGGTATATATTAACATTAATAAATATACCAATGAAGTATGTTGTTGTCTGACATCTTAATGCTTTTCATCTTCTTTGCTCATTCAGACAAGGTAGATGAGGGAAGCCCTGTGGTGGCTGTAATCATCTGCATCGTTGGCCTAACCGTTATCATCGTCGGCATGGGCGTTTACTTGGTGTTGTACATCAGACGGAAGAAACCAAGCACGCACTAAGATCCCCTGACTGGGAGTGGAGTACCTTCATCTGTTGCCCACACTGCCAGTGTAATACTTCGTCTTCTACAAAGCATGGCCATTATGCCACAGAGATAGTTAAACAAGTAATTAGGAACAACACTCAGAAACATCACGCTGTCATACTACTATGCAGCTTTGCTGTTTCACAAACATAGCCTCATAACGTAACTGGGTCATGGGCATGCAGCTTTATGATCATTATATAATCGAATCAGATAGTTTATAAATGTGGGGATGAGGGCACAGAAACTGTACAACAGTTTCAATGTTAGTTCTTATCATGTTCATAGCAAACATTTAATGAAGGGTGGCATATTTTATTATCAGTTAGAAGGGGTGTACTTTTAAAATGTATATCCAAAGTTCTGCTTTTTTTAACAAAACACCGTTATGCTTCATTTTCATTAAATCTCTTATGGCTGAAGAGACAGAATCAGAGAAGGCTAACAGGTTGGTGTTAACTGACAAATAACCAGATTTTAAGTAAAGCTGCATACTTGGATACCATGGCTTATACATATCCAAACAATTGTTTTTTACTGTTCTCTCTTGCTGGTTTTAATGATGAATTTGTGATTAATACAAATGACTAATGACTTTCATATACTAGACTGAATGGAAAAATGTGTGTTTGAGAGGCAGGTTATCCAAGAAGCTCTAGGTATTTGCAAACTCCATACAGACAAGTCCACTCAACCATGAGCTTCAAACCCTTTGTGCTGTAATGCGACATTGCTATCCCATGCACCACTGTGTTTATTTACCATATTGATTTACAGTAGCATGCCATGTTTACCATATTGATTTACAGTAGCATGCTAGCGTAACATTAGAATTTGCTTAATTAGCATAAACTACCACTTAGGCTGATGGGAGTATTGGTTTTACAGCAGTCATTTATCAGAATTTGCAAACCAATAAAAAAAATTAATAAAATATCCTTATGAAAGTAGTTCTGCGTTTATTTCTTCAATCCCACTTATGATTAATAAACATTTAGTGCAACAGTACATTGCATGTCAGATACTGTACTGTATGCGGTCATATCAGTTTATTTATTACAATACATTTACTTATTCTTATTCTCTATTACTGTTGTGTTAGTCTGAGAAGTAAGGTTTCCAGAAGATACAGCAGCTTAGATGACTAAAGGCTGTAACATCAGTTGGTGATATAAAGGTCCAGTGCAACCAAAATTGTATTACCCAGTGTTTTAGAATTTCCTAACAGAGGACATGTCAAGGTAAAATTACTTAAGGGAGAGCTACAGCTCCCTAAGCATAAGCTTTAAGGATACAACAAGAGAGAGTAAATAAAGTAAATACTAAATGCTGAAATGTAGAATCAGATGTAAAAATGCCCTCTATACAGTAACCCTGACATTTGTAATTGTTATTGTTGTAGACATTTGAATAACATCATTTGCTACTGTTACCATTTGCCATCACATTACTTACTGTTGATGTTGGTTAATACTACTAAACGGATTTCTGAATATCTTGATAATTTGGCTTTTAATTTAGATAGGAAAGAGGTGTGCTGCACACTAAGACTTCGCTTTAGGAAAGAAACTGATGGGAATACCTACAGTATTCCCACAACAGAAACCTTTATTCAAGAGGTTAAAATATAATTTGAACCATTCTTCAAGGTATTCAAACATGAATGCTACTAGACAGATGGGGGGAGGTCTGGTATTGTGATGAATTTGTTAGTTGTAAGTCAGCTTTAATATGTTTTTATTAGGGGTTTAGAGCTGTGTGATTCATGTGTGGTTTCTTTATAACATTTCCCTGTGTACCACTGTGATGCTTGTTGTTCAGTGTCATTCTTGTTTCAACACCCTTAAAAAGGCAAAAGCCAACACACAGGCCAGTAGGTGTCTTAAAATTCTTCTTCCCTACCCTACCTGAATAAAAGCTTCCAGTTTTGCCATTCCCTGGAGTTATATACACCTCGCACACCAGAGGAGTTTATTTATTGTGTGATATTAATTATTCTTTTTCTAAGCACCTGTAGAGTTTCAACAAAAATCCCTAAGTGTTGACAGTGCCACACTTTTTTAGGAATTTGGTTTGTTAGGTGGCTCCACAAGTTGCTCTAAAATTATAATCATTTGGTTGGTTCCAGTTTTTCACTCCATTGTCCTTATTTTTCATCAGATTTTTTAAAAAGCCCCAGAAAGCTTTCTTAACTAAATGACATCATTGCACTGGATTTTTTAAACGATTCATTTACCAGGTTTTTCAGCATGGTATGTGGTTTACTTCTACTTATTTTAAAGTAGTTTTTGTAGAGTTCATCATTCGTAATGGGAGCATATCCTCCACCCATTCATTCGGGGAAGCTATCATGCGCTCCCACAGGGCCACCTCACAAGAAGCTGAGTCCATCCAATCCACCAGTGCTCCATAACTTCTGCCTACAGAGAGACACACAAACAAACAAACTCTGATTCCAGTCCTTCATTGTGATATGGTTATACAGTACCATCCATCATCTATACTGCCTATTCCTGAACAGGGTTGTGGGGGGTCTGGAGCCTATCTCAGCTGACACTGGGTGAGAGGCAGGGTCCACCCTGGACAGGTCACCAATCTTTTCCAGGGCTGACATGTAGACAAACAAGCACGCACACTCACAGGCAATTTAGAGCCACCAGACAGAGGAAGCCAGAGTACCCACACAGGATCAGGGAGAACATGCCAACTCGGCTCGAACCCGGAACCTTCTTGATTTTAGTCCTGAGGATGGTATAACCCATCATCATGTGAGGCAACATCATTAACCACTGCGCCGTTGTACAGTACCATCAACTGTAAAAAGGGCGGGCAGGCCAAGAGCTCCCAGAAGTGAACCCACTGTGGTGTGATCGCCCCCTGGTGGCTGATTGCAGTATAGGTCAAAAGTCCCACCTTCTCCATATTAGTGAATGGGACATGAGCCAGGGGCAGCATGGTGGCGCGGTGGTTAGCGCCGTTGCCTCACAACGAGCAGATTCTGGGTTCGAGCCCCGGCTGACCCAGGGCCTTTCTGTGCGGAGTTTGCATGTTCTCCCCGTGCTTGCGTGGGCTCTCTCCGGGTGCTCCGGCTTCCTCCCACAGTCCAAAGACCTGCAGCATAGGTTGATTGGTGTCTCTAAATTGCCTGTAGGAGTGCTTGTGTGTGTGAGTGCTTGTTCGTCTTTGTGTTAGCCCTGCAATGGGCTGGCGACCTGTCCAGGGTGTATCCCCCCTTTTGCCCGCAGCTGGCTGGGATTGGCTCCAGCCCCCCGTGAGCGGTTTAGAAAAGGGATGGATGGCTAGATGGACATGAGCTAAACTCAAAGTACAAATCAGAAGAATTTTCCCATATGTCACTTTTGTGGTTTTTGGTAGATATAATCACACTGATGTGTGTACAAGTGGTCATTTTTCTGGCAAGTTTGTTTTTAACACATTATTTGATTATATAAAAAGAGAAGTATTTTTGATTGATTTGACAGCTTTGATTGGCGGTCCGATGCTGTCAGTCCACTTATGATGGCTACTGCACAGAATCGGGTTTCAAAAAAGCAAGAATGCTGCCGCTGTATTCACAGTATTTTGTCTTCATTTTTGCATAATGGAGGGACGTTGTGGTGCCATGTCCATCGTACATAAGTTGATGGGTTATACTATCCTCAGGAAGTAGTACTAAAATCAAGTTCCAGAAACAAATGGGGGCAGGGTTTCATGCACACTCTACAAACCTTGATCATTAACATTAGAAGCACATTGTGTAAAGAGGCACTTATAGTGGTTTAAAGGTAAAACAAGGATTTCACTAGTTGGTTTAGAAGTAAAATGGAAACTTCAGCGAGTGGACAGCAGGCAAAGCAGAGAACACATCACATTTCTGAAAGTCTGTTCTGCTTGTCCAACAACATCAGCTAAATAAATCTCTGACGATTTCAGTGCACTGTGCACTTAATGGTACCTGGAGGCAAAGTAATGCAGTGCTATATAGATTATGGTGTAAAACCAGCAGTATGCTTGTCATTCCTCTTCATCATAAGTACTATCTCATAAATATTATATTTTGAAATTGTTTATTGAGTTTTGAACATTTACTTTGCTCTGCCATGTTTGTTTATGGCAGCCTCAGTGATATATACAGGTTAGTTAAAGAGAGAGCTTGAATGATAGACTGGACAACAGATTAGTTTGGCTGCAGAGCTTAACCATCAGGTATTTGACTTCCTTGGCACCAGATCAGAAAATGGAACTGGACAGATGAGTGAGATTACATCTTCAAGGAAAAATCTTTTTTTTTTTTAAATCTCATTTCACCAGCTGCTCTAAGCAAGTTTAAACAATAATAATGTTAAACAGCCCTGTGATAGACTGGTGACCTGTCAAGGGTGCACCCCACCTCTCGCCCAGTGTCAGCTGAGATTGGCTCCAGCCCCCCATGACCCTATTCAGGAATAAGCAGTATAGATAATGAATGGATAATGTTAAAGAAAATAACTAAGTTGTTAATTGCTTCATCAGCATGTTTCTTAGACCCCAACCCAACCAGGCTGGTCAAAGCCATCTTAACCCTAATCAGCACATCCATATTGGATCTGATTAACCTCTCTTTATTAACAGGCTATGTTCCACAGGATTTTAAGGTTGCTGACTCTCTCTACCTTTAAGATTAGATTTAAGACTTTCTGTTTTTGATAAAGCTTATACTTAGGGCTGGATCAGGTGACCCTGAGCCTTCCCTTAGTTATGCTGCTATAGGCCTAGGCTGCTGGGGGGCCCCATGATGCTCTGAGTTTCTCTCCCCTCCCCTCCCCTCTCATCTCCTCTCCTCTCTCTCCATACTTCTATATGCCACCATTACACATCACTAACTTTGTGTCTCCTCTCTCC